TAATTGTAGCCAGGCAGTGGCAGTCAGGGTTGTGCCTGGCTGAATCCACCATCTCGTAGTGCTCGCAGCTGCAGGACCGTCACTGTCAACCGAATCTCCAGCGCGCATGTCTAGTATATGTGGCATAAGCCTGAGAGCAGCAGCGAGCCGAGGGTCGCTCTACTGTACAATATGTATTCGGAGCCAAAGTATGCGCAGCGTTGATGTAAAGATCGACTGGCCATGGTACAGCATAGTGCACTTGGAGTGCACTACTTTTCATCCAGAAAGCAACACCAGTCTCATCTCAATTAGTTTATACTGATCATCGTCAACACAGAAAACCGGCTCAACTGCTCTGTGGAACCTGTTCTGCCGTTGCGTCTGCCCAGGGGGAAAGCGACCCAACTTATCTGAGCGAGCGGTATATGTACGAACGGTGTGCTCGACGTAAGCGTGATGACACCAAGTTACTGGCAAACATGCCAATGTAGGGAGGAGAGTAAGATGATTCGACGCATAGTTTAGCAAACACGCCAACCAAGTAGAGATCCCATTCAAATGTAGGCTATGGAGTAAGCATGGCTGACATGGAAATGCACGCAACACACCATCTAGGATGGTCTCTATTCAATCCTAGCCTCTCTACATTTTAGTGAAGAGCCAAACCTAAAGGTAGTACCGGTAGAGACAGCATACTAAGCAAGCAGCGAGCATAAGTTTGGGGTAGTCTGACAGAAAGGCGCGTAATAAGGTAGAGGATCAGGACACGTAGCTTATACTACTGCTGAGAGTATTGCGGAGGCTGGGAGAGACCGTCAATCCGCTCGTTGATCTGTTTCAACATGCGCATCACCTCAGGCCCGGAGGGGGAGTTACCGCCAGCGTGTGAGGGTGTCGCAGTACTGTCAGGGCTGTCAAATCCGCTGCGGGGCTCGCTAAGACTCTGAGTGCTGGGAACCACTAGACGATCTCGGGACTTCGTGTCGTAGTATATGACCTGGGGGCCTACTACATCACATCGCGAATCAGCCGCAAGAACAGGGATATAACGTCGAAGCGGACCTTGCGACTCTGTTCGAGGTTGCTGCTAATAAGGTTCGGCGTGGAGAATCTGGGCGCGACTGCTGGACATCTGCCGTCTCTTTCTGACCAGAAGAAAGACTACCAACGCTATCGCAGCAACTCTGAGGACGGCGTCCAGTATGCCGCCGATTATCGAACCAACGTTGCTAGAAGAGCTCGAAGGCGCGGATCCGAGGTTGTCGAGTCGATAGGCTGTGAATTATGTGAGCAGAGGAAGTAGGTTGAGGGCGTACCGTTGCCAAGTCCATCTGAGGAAGAATAATGTCGGAGATGCGCTTTACCTTGGGCAATGAATGGAACCACATCCCTCCCATTTGGATGTAACTCCCTTCATTAGTATCGCTTATGAGGAAAGTACAGTTGTACTGATTGAGAGGCAGGCCGGTGGTAGATGAAGGAACAGTGCCGTTCAAGAGAAGACGGGTAGGGATTTCTCCCCTGTTAAAAACGCGACGTCCACACGCGTCACCTAGAGTTGCACGGTGTCAGTCAAAGCTCGATGCAGCGATAACAACGTGTGCTCACCGATAAATGAGAGATCTACTGAGCTATCTATCGTGGAGGACTGTCGTAAGCCATGTATGGGCGAAGACGAGCGGAAGCGAGTGTGATCGCGTTCCTGGGTCTGTGTTGATGCGAGAGATGTTCGCGCGGCGACGGCTGTGGGCGAGGAAGATATAATAATAATAAGAAGAGGGATATAAAGTGGCGGTGGTGGTCTTGCTGGCGCGAGGTACGAAGATGGCACGATGGATAGGCTGAGGCGAATGAGGGGTAAGATTCTGTGTTGAGTGGGTGGTATTGCATCGTGTAGCACTAGAGTACATGAGAGGTTTATATAGAGCTATGAGATAAGGTTGTGATGAACGAAAGGGAAAGATGTGAAAGATATTCTACCAGAGGTCAAAGACAGCTGTGACAGCCAGAGAGTTACAAGAACGGAAATGCATAGCGGTGGTACAGGTACGGGCATAGGCGACAGCGGTGCTCGTCAGCGAGTCCACATCGACCCATGCCTTCGCAGGCATATACTGCAAACTCCTGTGCCTTGCCGGCACCCAGATAAGGTCGCGAGGATCTACGGGCGCTGAAGGACCTGCATGTACCGTGAGGCGGTGGATTTCGAGCACAATTGACTCCGGTGTGTCTTCAGAGGAGATGGTGAGCGTTTGTCTGTTGCCGTCGCCGCTTGAAGCAAAGTGGTTTGGCGCGCTGATCAGTTAGACTAGCTTGCTCCACCTTTGCCTCCGTTACACCGCTTGCGTCGATGGTCGAGATCCCGTCAAGTTCCCATCCAAGCTCCAGTCGTTGCTCCTCAACATCTGCTGTTGCCCATGCACACTCTGCCTCCGTCCCGCGACCGGCGTTGACTCCCAAAAGCTCAACGCCCTTGCCTGTTGGGATGAAAGAGAAGTCAGCATTCGTATACTATCAGGAGACGAAGAACTGGCAGGAGAAACGAACCTACAAATGGAATGGAAACCGACCAGGGTTCGACCGTCGCGTTACACCGCAACACCGCCGACTTGAGGCTGCATCCAGAGCCTGCGAAGGAGATGCAGTTGACGTCCTCCGAGCCTGCGCATTGTCGGTTGAAGGGTACGAGTATGCTGAGGGAATCGCGATCGTCCGAGTTAGCCATGGTGACGGTCGGCAGTGAGGATGATGCAGTGGACGCGTCGAGACGATATAGTTGCGAGCAGTGATGATTGTGGGGAAAAGACGACTGACGGAATGCAGGACATGCGTTTGTATATGTATGCAGGGATAGTTCAACTTCTGTCCCTTGAGGATGAGCAGTCCTCCGAAGTATTCAGTCGTGGCTGCGATCCTTCCGTAGCGACATCATCGCGCTCCGTGATGATCGTCGGATGATCGCGAGGTCATCACCAGTCCAGTAAGACGCTATCACTTAGCAGCCACTGCGAGCCAGTCAACGAGTCAACTCTGGAGTGCTCCTTATCATGTACTTGCTCTAGATGAGCCCCAGACGTGCACTTCTTCGAGATGATCATTCCAATCGTCGTTCTGGCACGCTTACGTTCAGTTAACGTTGCGATTCCGCATAGAAACCTTGGGCACTGGCGAGAACTTCATCCCGCCCCAGGGTTGAACGTTGAGGAGACGGTGTCTATATTGTCATCGGCGAAAGACTATAGCAGACCACTGAGATAATGTATCTCATTATTAATACGATGATCAGGAGAAGAATGTACACCAGAGGCCCATAAAACCAGAAAAGAGAACACGGACGAAGTCTCTGACTCGTTAATCTATGTGTACACAGACAATCTCGAGCTCGAGGCTTCTATACATACGTTAGAGTCAAAAGCGGCGCATGTGTAATGCACCTCGACCATACTGGCTCGATCAAACACCGCTCTCGCATCTCTCCTTCAAATCCTTGTTGAACTTGTCAAACCCTTCTATAGCCGAAGCACCGGAACTGCTTTTTGCACTCATCATGAAAGACAAAATTCCACTAAAGTCCTCGTAGTGAGCGAATCGCGTTGAACCAGGAGTGATCTCGGAAGGGTGAAACTCGAAAGCGTGATCGCCCGTGAAGATGAACGGAAGCGAGCCTCTCCACATGAGCCGCGCCGGAGTGTTCTCCTAAAACGCGATGAGCAAAAAGTCAAGGAAACGAGATGAATCGTCGCGTACAAGAATGGTGGGACTGAAGCTCATTCCCGAGGAGAGCGAGACGTCGAGCTTGTCGCCAGGGACGAGGTCTTTGGCATTCTTTCCAGACGGGACTGAAAGGGACTTGAATTGGGCTTGATGCCATTCTGGGATCTTCGCAAACTCGAGCATCTATAAGAAACGACTAGCTCAGAGACACCATTACCGAGCGAAGATGCAGATAGTAACAGGACGTACAACCTCTCGAACGCGCTCAGGAGATGCGTTGATTTCGATTGGGGTGGTTTCGATCCGGACGCCCATCTTGGTATCAGTGGGTTATGCGGGGTAGACGAGGTAAACGGGGATGCAGTAAAGACGCAGACTAGCCGCCTTGATATACTTATACCTCCGCGTATTATTAGGGCCTAAGCGCCTGTTGTGATGATAACGGCAAAGCGACGACTGCTACTTGTACTAGCGTTTTGGAGCCCCGGAACGGACCGTTCGATCAGATGCTCAGTCGTTGCGATTAAAATACGACGCTTTGAAACGAAGGACCTGAAATATCGTAAGTATGTGCTAATACATGTGTCTAATTTTGGTCACAACATGCAAATTGACAGACCCGCTTCCGATCGCCCGGTCGCCATATCCCCAGAAACAAGTTGAAAGCACCTCTTCACGAGACGTTCTGCAAGACTTTGAACACTCAAAGTGTAACTGGGCGAGGCCCCGGGCCCTCTGCGAGTTCTCCGGCATTATATCCATAACCCAGCGTCTTCTAATCTCGGCACAGTGGTAGCGCATAGAGATAGAGACTGTAAGTTGTAAGTAAGTTACTTGACTTTGACCAATCTTCATCGATCTCATCTCTCATCTGACGTGTTTAGCGAAACTCTAAGTTCGACCATGTACCAGCTTTAGCATATTCAGCGCTGAGGTTCGAAAGAGGGGCGATCGTGAGAGGGAACATCAATATTCATATTCATTAGACAAGAGCTAGAGAAAATGACACTATTCGGACCCCAACGTACGTGTTGACTGGATATCCGAACCTGCTGCAGAATCCTGCCAACTAGTAGCAACAGCACGACTGATAGACCGCAGGAAAGGGAAGAAGGAGGTTGAGCACGGAGAGAAGGACATGAGGGTCAATCACATAAGAAGTCAATGTGAAGATGATGATCGAGTCGGTGTAGTTACTGACCGATCATCGGTGAGCGTCACTATGCGCAACCTGCTCCTCCTTGTACCTCCTCCTCTCTCAGCCGTTTTAACGACTTTATGCTTTTAATTCCGTTCCAAACAACGAACCTTTGGCGCAGCGGTAGCGCGTATGATTCCAGAGAGCAGCAAATGGCCCTTTTCGAGGGCTGTCGCTGCGCAGATGGTTCCATAAGGTCGTCCGTTCAATCCGGGCAAGGTTCAGGGCTTGAGACTTTTTGCAGGGTGAATATCGTTGTCAGTGCCCCCTGCTAGTCAATCTCGCTTCTATCTTCGAGAGGGCCATTGAGCTTCCTTTTCGCCGCCTCATGATCATTTTGCGTCCGCTCATTCGCATGATATTCGAGCGCAAAGGAGAAACTTAATTCTAGCCACCTGTTATTGGTGATACGACCGGTCTGGCCTCTGTTACCTCGCGCGTTCCAAAGTACTTATGAACCTTGTTTCGAGTTGTTCGCCGTCGTCTGTTGTTTCAGGGAGAGTGTGCGGAGCGGAGGCAGCGGATAAGGTCAGCCACAGCTCAGCGCACTGTGTCACAGTTCTTCTACACACAACATGCTGTGAATAAGCCACCGGTAAATTGATGCAGGAGCAGAGCCATTGGTATAGCGCTGCTAAGAGGTGGTTGACGGTGCGGTGTTGAGGTTGCCGTCGATGTGCTCATCCTGCCGCAAGTACGCCAATGATGTGACGAGGCATTGAAGTTCCTCTCGGGATCTTGTCACAACGCGAAACATGGGTGCGACATGCGAGGGCGACTGCTCCTAGTGATTCAACCTTGTTTCGTATTACGCGTTGCGATAGCATTGATGTTCTGCTATGCGATACGTGACAGGCTCAAGGGTCTGTCCTCCAATGCAGAGCTGTTGTATACAGTATACCTCCATACCAAACAGACCCAGACTCCTCCCCATGCAAAGTATCATCTCAGCTCACTTTACTCTTCCCATCGTGAACCTTCAGCTTTGGCGAGTCGATATCTATGCCCTTGAACGCACGGACCTAAGTTCGCGGGTAATGAATGAGCACTATCGACGTTCACCATCAGCTCACAGACGTACGTTCACTGCTCTCATGCCTGGGAAGAAGTTCTCCGCAACGGGCACGCCAAACAGGCACGTCCCACACGTAGGACAAAACTCATGCCTGACTCTCTTCTCTCCAAAGCTGTACCCCTAGCATTGACAACCAACGTGCGTCCTAGTCGTTGTCGGCTCACCAATGGGAGCGCGGCAAGACGGAGCTGGAAATGTGCCGTCGCATGTCCTTCCCCACTGATGAACTTCAAATCTTCATTTTTGACGTAGAGATCCAGGTACCCGTTTCGTGTACAGATAGAGCAGTTACACGCGACAACGTCTTGAGCGTAGAGGGGAGAAGTCAGCGTGACGGTGAAGGAGATACGGGAACAGTGGCGGCTGGCGTTGTAGGTTGTGGTCGGGGAGGATTTCGCGGGTGTCGGCGGCAGAGTACCCATCTTGGTGTACGTCGCAATGAAGAACGCTTTATATACACATGCACCGGTGGGCAGGCATCGTCGGTTCAGAAGAGCACAGTGCCGCGCGCCCGTGTCAGTCGACACACCGTGAGAAAGCAATCTGAATTCGTTGCGTCCTGTGCTTCGGAGTAGCAGGTGTGAAAGTAAGATCGCGGAGAGCTACATAGCAAGACGAAGCGGAACCCAGACAAACAATGCTCGGTGGACACCAAGTCTTTGACCCGAGAAAAAATAGCATAAACGGCTACAAGATATACACCGCACAACTTCGTTCACAACATGCCCCTTTCACTGACGACCTCCTTTCACTGAAAATGATGACAGCATTCACCACTTCTCGTGAGCGGGACGAACTGAAAGATCAAAGTGAACGTCAGCATCATAGAACCATTGCAGCAAAGACATGGCGTAGAAGAAGGTAAAGTACGACCTCATCAGCACTGCGCGCAATAGCGACCAAGCAAGTGCAATGGACGCGACAAGAATTTGGGAAAGGGAAGACGCGACAAGGACCAATAACTCACGGTCAAGTTCCCAAGTCCATGTGCTCTTGTGCTGGTTGACGAGCCAGAGGTAGTTCTCCGCAATCTGCACCGGCGCCATGAACTTGTCCAACTCATCGTCCTTGGCGGTAAGCTCAGACGGCATCTGCTTGATATCCTTACGAACATTGCCCGAGTTGATGCCTGCGAAGCGACGACGTCAATGTTCAGCCCAGTGTCAAGTGAGAAGCGGACGAGAGATTCTCACGGCCGTCAATGATGCAGTGTGCAACGTGGATGTCCTGCCTTCCAAACTCCTTGGCTAAACTCTGGCTCAACGCCCTGATCCCATGCTTCCCTGCGCTGAAGCTAGACGTGATCGGACCTCCTCGTACACCAGCAGTCGCACCAGTGAAGATCAACGTTCCCTTCCTCCCATCAACGGGCTCGTTCTGCAAGAACAAGCGAATCACCTCCTGCCCAAAGACGAAGCCGCCCTCGAGATGAGTCAGGATGGAGCGGCGGTGCTCGGCGGGGGTGATTTCGAGGAAAGGCTTGAAGATCGCGTCGCCGGTGTTGTACAGAGCTCCGCGAACCGCGTGGGTGCTAGGTGGGAATGCAGAGAGAATGGTCTTGAATCCGGCGCTGAGAGCCTCAGCTTCGTAGGATTCTACGGGGACTGGGATAGCCTGAGGGACGACAATGGTGAGAACGGGCTATGATGACGAGTAAGCTTGGTTGACAGGTACCTCGCCACCGTCGCTCTTGATCTCCTCCGCGAGAGTCTTCAGCGAGTCGGGATTACGCGCGATAAGTGCAACAGAATAGCCTGCTTTCGCAAAGACGCGACTGAAAGAGAAGCAAGCTCAACATATCTCGACAGTTTCCGCGATCAAGATCCAAAACGCACGCTGCAGAAGACCCAGTACCAGATCCGCTACCCACTCCAGAGACGATGAAGACTGGCTTCAGGATCTTGCTTGCTGCCGACATGATAGTTCTAGGATTGAAGATGGTTGTTAGATGAGTAGATGGGGTGTAAGATAGCGTATCTTACTTGGTGTTCTCGTCGTTATAAGGGTTGACAGCGGTGCTGGCTTTAGTCAGGAACGGAGTAACGCTGACCACGAGCGGCAAGCCAGCGGAGGACGCTGATGGGCGTCGTCTCCGGGCCGCGGCCCCCGCAGCATCAGATTATCAGCGTACGCGTTCAATACCGTTCCAACTTCAAATGCCCAACGCCAACGCCATACTTAGCACAGAAGCTTGCGCCATTGGTATTACAGAACACCTCATCCAAACGTATCCTGGTACACAGATTCCTACATTTCCAGTGATTATACACCACCATCTCCACCCACTCAGCTCATAACTAGTACGTCTCAACAGAGGCGATGTCGTCCTTGATAGCCAACCACGCCTGCCTCTCCTGCAACTCCGTCCACCACCTGGCAACATTGGGCATAGCAGCGTTATCCAAGGTGTCCAGTCCGAGGAAGGGAAGCAGAGTTCCGGTGGGAAGATGGAAGAGGTCAACGATGGTGAGCTCCTGTGTGGTCATGACGAGGATTAGGAATTGCAAAGCACGGAAAGATGAGGATGTACACGTACATCACCAGCGAGGTACTTCTGCTTCAACAAGATCTTCTCATAGACGTCGAGCTTGGGACTCAGAGAGTCGATCGCAGCCTTTGCAGCAGCCTCGTCGGCTGCACCGTAGAACTTCCTATACATGCGACAATAAGCAGCTGGGGCGGATGTCGCGGTGAGTAAGGGATGGAACGTACTTCTTGATGACGCCTTCGTAGATAGCTTTAGCAGCGTACACGTCGTAGTTAGCTACTTCAATCGACAGAGCCTGGTCGAGCTTGGCCGATGCCTGGATGTCGGTGGGAGGAGGGACCAAGCCAGCAGTGCCTTGACCCGCATACTTTGTCGCAATATACCTCGCGATCGCACGGGATTCGTACAGAACGAAGCCATCGTCCTCCTAGACTTCATCAGATGGGCGGTTGGAGGAAAGGTTGGAGAAAAGTGCAGACGTACGATGTACGGAACTTGCCCGAACGGTTGTTTCTCGAGCACCTCTGGCTTCTTGTGCTCTCCTGTCGCAAGATCGATGTTTACATACTTGAACGGGACCTTCTTTTCATGCAATACGACCGCAACACGCTTCGTGCATGTGGAGAACGGGAATCCGTAGAGTGTGAGGACCATGTGTTAGGATTGCAAGTTGGGATGTGTGGTGATAATCATCCGGCGAGTTCTGATAGGAAGAGGGTACATAGCACAGATGGCGGTGTCGAGTTGTTCTCCGGCCAAGTTATGGACTAACGAGTGATGCGTAACTTTAACCAGATCCGGGGCGATTTAGATTAGGCGTGCCTGTCGATCCGACGACGAGAAATTTGGGAGAGGTGTGTTGAGTCCTCCATGGGATTCGCGCCGAGTACGATCCATCCGGCATCCATCTATCTGCATATCTGTCTCTTTCGAACACATCTAACAATTCCGCTCTTTGGAACACATCTAACAATTCCACGATTGTTCTGATGACAGAATTGAAACCTGCACCTTCTACCGCTGACCTGCAGTACCTCCTTTTCCTTTGGGAAAATGGCAAAAGAACAGGAGGAGGAGGAGGAGGTGAAGAAAGAAAGCCAAGCCCCGACTCGGGAAATGCACTCGGTGCCCCGGCAGAAACTCGGAGATCAAAGCGGGTCAGGAAAATGAATGATTCTCGATGATGAAACGCGGTCACGAGATAGACTGAGCTTGGCAGGACGATGGCAGGCACACCGCCCTGACTCCAACCGCAGCGGCCATCTCACCGACTCTTCCAAATCCAGAGTCGGACTAACTGTGAAGCATCTTGGGGTCCTTGGTCCATGCTGCCACTGTTGATCATAATCCAAAGTCCCTTGTTCGAGCCACCTATCATCTCCTGCAAGAACCCTCGTTCAGGTCGGATGGACTACACCAAGCCTCCTCCACCCCTAATTCGAAGCACCGCTTTACCACCAGGGAGAATTAGCCGTACAGAGCCGTACCCACTCAAATTCGCTTCCGGTGCTCTGAGTGTACGCACGCATGTGAGTATATACTCTCGCTAGAGACGTGCGCATGTACGTCCACACGGCCATCCACCACAGCCTCAATATTCCCAGTGATAACCTCCTCTCTTCCATGAGATCCGTGTGACGCGTGGGTATGGCCAATAATTA